TACAGATAACATTGTTTTTCTAGGCTTTGTTGTTAGTACAGAAGGTGTCAAAGTGGATGTAGAGACGGTTAAGGCAATTAAGGAGTGGCCAAATCCAAAAACCATTGGAAATGTTACTTTCACGGTTTAGCTGGTTTTTACCGACGCTTTGTGAAAGATTTCAGCATAATAGCAGCTCCCATGAATGAAGTTATCAAGAAGAATGTGAGATTCAAATGGGAACAAGCTCAAGAAGTGGCTTTCCACTGCTTTAAAGAGAAGCTTATACATGCTCCGGTTTTAGCTTTACCTGATTTTGTTAAAACTTTTGAAATATAATGTGATGTTTCTGGTGTAGGTATTGGAGCAGTGCTAATGCAGGACAAAAGGCCCATTGCTTACTTCAGTGAAAAGCTTGCAGAAGCCACTTTGAATTACCCCACTTATGCTCTTTTCGAGCCTAACAAACTCGGCAGCATTACTTGTGGTTAAAGGAATTTGTTATACATACTGATCATGAGTCTCTTAAGCACCTCAAAGGACAACAAAATCTTAACAAGAGACATGCCAGGTGGGCTTTATTCATCGAGACATTTCCATATGTCATCAAGTATAAGAAAGGTAAAGATAATGTAGTTGCTGATGCATTATCTTGGAGGTACACTCTTCTCTCTACTTTTCATGTTAAATTTTTTGGTATTGAACAAATAAAAGAACTTTATGCAACTGATTCTGATTTTCAAGAAATCTTTAAAACTTATGAGAAGTTTACTTCTGGTCATTATTATCAACAAGACGAGTTTATCTTTTATGAGAACCATTTATATGTTCCTAACTGTTCTCTTCAAGACTTGTTTGTCAGTGAAGCACATGGAAGAGGATTGATGGGGTATTTTGGAATAGCTAAAACCATAGAAGTTATGAAAGACCATTTCCATTGGCACATGAAAAGATATGTTGAACGTATTTGTGGCAGCTGCTCTACTTGTAAGCAAGCTAAGTCAAAGGTTCAGCCAAACGGCTTTTATACCCCTCTTCCTATTCCTACTCACCCCTGGAATGATGTGTCAATGGATTTTGTCATGGGTTTGCCTAGGACTAGAACATGAAAGGATTCAATATTTGTTATGGTTGATAGATTTTCAAAAATGGCTCATTTTAATGCTTGCAACAAGACTGATGATGCATTTTATGTAGCTAATTTATTCTTTAAGGAGATGGTTTGTTTGCATGGGATGCCTAATTCAATAGTTTCTGATAGAGATACTAAGTTTCTTAGTTTCTTTTAGGAAACAATTTGGTCTAAGTTAGGTACTAAACTGATGTTTTCTACTACTTACCATCTGCAAATTGATGGGCAAACAGAGGTAGTTGATAGGACTCTAGGTACACTGCTTCGTGCTTTGATCAGAAAGAATTTAAGGAGTTGGGAGGATTGCTTACCTCACATAGAGTTTGCATACAATCATGCTGTTCATTCTGCTTCTAAATAATCACCTTTCAGATTATCTATGGTTTTAATTATATTTCTATTTTGGATCTAATTCCTTTACCTGTTAGTGAAAGAGAAAGTGTTGATGAAAAGAAAAGAGGCTGAGTTAGTTCAACAAATTCATGCGAATCCTCAGAGAAACATAGAAGAAAAGACTAATCTATATGCTAAACAAGCCAACAAGGGAAGAAAACAAATGATTTTTCAGGTTGGAGATCAAGTATGACTTCATTTGAGGAAAGAACAGTTCCCAAATGAAAGAAAATTAAAGTTGATGCCAAGAATAGACGGTCCATTCAAGATTACCAAACGGTCAGTGACAATGCATGTCAACTGGATTTGAAAGGTAAATACAATGTGAGTTCTAGTTTTAATGTATCTGATCTTGTTCCTTTTATTGCAGATGAAACGGATTTGAGGTCAAATCCTTCTAAAGTGGGAGGGGATGATATGATCATGGACCATATAAAAGACTTAGAGCTTGTAGCTGATAAAGGACTTGTAGCTGATGAAGAAGGACTTGTAGCTGAAAAAGAACATGAAGAACAAGAAGCTAAAAAAGACCTTGAAGTCGAGGAAGCTCTAGATATTCCACAAGGTCCAATGAAACGTTCAAAAGCTAAGGTATTACAAGACATAATGCATTTGTTACTTGGTCATTTGGAGAATCAATGAGAAGACAAGAATGCTTATCAAACCTCCTTATTTTTTTTATTCAAGCCCAAGATTAACATATGGGAGGATTGCTTACCTCACATAGAGTTTGCATACAATCATGCTGTTCATTCTACTTCTAAATAATCACCTTTCAGATTGTTTATGATTTTAATTATATTTCTCTTTTGGATCTAATTCCTTTACCTGTTAGTGAAAGAGAAAGTGTTGATGAAAAAAAAGAGGCTGAGTTAGTTCAACAAATTCATGCGAATCCTCAGAGAAACATAGAAGAAAAGACTAAGCTATATGCTAAACAAGCCAACAAGGGAAGAAAACAAATGATTTTTCAGGTTGGAGATCAAGTATGACTTCATTTGAGGAAAGAACAGTTCCCAAATGAAAGAAAATTAAAGTTGATGCCAAGAATAGACGGTCCATTCAAGATTACCAAATGGTCAGTGACAATGCATGTCAACTGGATTTGAAAGGTAAGTACAATGTGAGTTCTAGTTTTAATGTATCTGATCTTGTTCTTTTTATTGCAGATGAAACGGATTTGAGGTCAAATCCTTATAAAGTGGGAGGGGATTATATGATCATGGACCATATACAAGACTTAGAGCTTGTAGCTGATAAAGGACTTGTAGCTGATGAAGAAGGACTTGTAGCTGAAGAAGAACATGAAGAACAAGAAGCTAAAGAAGACCTTGAAGCCGAGGAAGCTCTAGATATTCCACAAGGTCCAATGACACGTTCAAAAGCTAAGGTATTACAAGACATAATGCATTTGTTACTTGGTCATTTGGAGAATCAATGAGAAGACAAGAATGCTTATTAAAACTCCTTGTTTTTTTTTATTCAACCCCAAGATTAACATATGGGAGGATTGTTTACCTCACATAGAGTTTGCATACAATCATGCTGTTCATTCTACTTCTAAATAATCACCTTTCAGATTGTTTATGGTTTTAATTATATTTCTCTTTTGGATCTAATTCCTTTACCTGTTAGTGAAAGAGAAAGTGTTGATGAAAAAAAAGAGGCTGAGTTAGTTCAACAAATTCATGCGAATCCTCAGAGAAACATAGAAGAAAAGACTAAGCTATATGCTAAACAAGCCAACAAGGGAAGAAAACAAATGATTTTTCAGGTTGGAGATCAAGTATGACTTCATTTGAGGAAAGAACAGTTCCCAAATGAAAGAAAATTAAAGTTGATGCCAAGAATAGACGGTCCATTCAAGATTACCAAATGGTCAGTGACAATGCATGTCAACTGGATTTGAAAGGTAAGTACAATGTGAGTTCTAGTTTTAATGTATCTGATCTTGTTCTTTTTATTGCAGATGAAACGGATTTGAGGTCAAATCCTTCTAAAGTGGGAGGGGATTATATGATCATGGACCATATACAAGACTTAGAGCTTGTAGCTGATAAAGGACTTGTAGCTGATGAAGAAGGACTTGTAGCTGAAGAAGAACATGAAGAACAAGAAGCTAAAGAAGACCTTGAAGCCGAGGAAGCTCTAGATATTCCACAAGGTCCAATGACACGTTCAAAAGCTAAGGTATTACAAGACATAATGCATTTGTTACTTGGTCATTTGGAGAATCAATGAGAAGACAAGAATGCTTATCAAACCTCCTTGTTTTTTTATTCAAGCCCAAGATTAACATATGGGAATGAAATCCACTTGTACTCTTTTTCCTTTTTCTTTGCTTTTGTCCCAATGGATTTTGCAAAGAGAGGTTTTTAATGAGGCAAGTGTATTTCATCCTTGGCCCATTTGTTGATCAGAAGACAAGTCGAAAGAGCAGCAGTTCCTTTGAAGTAGTTTAAGAGTTTCTTTGTTTCATTTTCAAACCATATGCTCCTTTTCTTTATTTCTTTGCTTTGTTTCGAGATAGTCTTTGGTGTTTGTATCAAAACTCATCTCTTTATATGTTGCTCTCATACCTGCATTTTATCTTATCTATCTTTTTAATCAAAAACCTTAAGCATAGATCCGGTACATCAAAGGTTTCTCCATCTCCTTCGTATGACCACTCGATCTGTGGTGAATCTAAGTGCCTTTTGTATCCTTAGTGTGACCAAACGTTCCATACATCTATCCCCTTTCATTATTACTATCCCATTTATACTGTGTTTACTCATTCTTTCCCTCCTCAACTAAATCATCATCATCATCATCATTACATGTTTAAGTGTTCTTTGTGTTCAAACGGATCCATTCATTCATAAGCTTTCTTTCAAAGTGTCGAGTCAGAGGGGAAAACATATTGGCATATTTTTGGATATTCTACATAATCTAAAGGATATAGATTGTATTATCCTGTGAGTGGAAAAATTGTTGGAAGCAGAAATGTTACTTTTGATGAGAAAGCTGTTTGGAGTTGGAGTGAAGGTGATAATGGTATGTTTCTAGAAATTACCATGGAGAACAGTGATGGAGGTGAATCAAAGTCCAGGTGGTTCTGAAACTAATACACCAACAAGCTCAGTTCCTAATTCACCTAATTCCAGCAGTGGCAATAGATCAAGTAGCAGTAAAGATGAAAGTGCACCTCAAAAATTCAAATCCCTGCTAGATATTTATGAGGTTCAGCATGCACTTTTCACTTCTGATCTTGGAACTTTTAATGATTTAGAAAAAAAAAGAAAAGATAATATCCATGGAGAAGATTCACACTTGAAAATTAGTTGAGCTTTCTGAAAGTACTTAATTGATGTAAAATGAGTGTTTAGAACTAAATATCATACAGATGGTAATATTAAAAGTATAAGACAAAGCTGATGGTTAAAAAATATGCCCAAAAGTATGGAGTAGATTATAAAAACCTTTCTCTCCTGATAACCGACCGGGTTTGGCAGTGTACGAACTCTAATTGCATTAACAGCTAATGCATTGGTCAATAAATCAGTTTGAATTCTAAAGTAATTTAGTTTTACATGTTTCATGTGTTTAGAGTTTGCACTCTCTATTGGTCAATTAAATTGGAGATTAGCTTCTCATCTTCTTCCTCTTTCTCTATATCTCGTGATAAACATAAATTTTAGGCTTATCAGTTGTAAAAGGTTCTAACTTTTCCTGCTTTGTAAGTCATAAGGTAAATAAAAAACATTTATTTTTTCTTGTCGCAAGTTTTGGGATTTGTGTCTTATCTTGTGAATAGCTCAATTATCTCACAGAGAGAATTGAGCGGAAAGGAGGAAACTTTGAAAAATCAGAGAAAGCCCTAAAAATGGAAGCCGCCGATCAAACGGTGATCTGCGAGTTGCTTGCCGTCGACCTCAGCGACGATTGCTACAGAGTCTGTTCTCGCTGCGAGAGAGTGCTTCCTGGAGATTACAACAATGGCGTTTCCTCTTCTTCATTTTCGTCGTTATTCAGATTCTGCAACTCCAAAGAACCCAAATTGCTCTACCTTATCCTCGTACGAACCCTTCTTCCCCTTTATGAGTTTTTTTATCTTCTCTGGTGAAATGATTTGATAGCATTTTTCTAATTCGTTGTGAGTTAGGGATTTAGCCCTTTAGCAATTTGTCAACTTAGGGGATTGTTCAATGTAATGTGAAGAAGAAGTTTTTGGTGAATCTATCTGTTTAAATCTATGGAAACTGAGAAATCGAAACTTCAAATTTGTGTTTTTGTCACTTCCCCACTTTTCTGAATCTGTGTTTGGTTAATCTAACAGATGTCTATAGCAACAGATACATCATACATCAGTTAAGACTCTGATCTGCTTTTGAATTTGTGAGCTTGTGGAATTGAGAAATCAGTGTTTTGTATTTGTTCTTCCCCACTTTTCTGAATTAACGTGTATATTTAAATCTAGTAGATATCTATAGCAACAGAGACAACAGTTAAAACTGTGATATGTTTTGATAGAGCAGCGACTCTTCTCTTTGGTTGCTCAGCCGATGAGTTCTTCCACTTCACCAAGCTCAATCCTTTAACCGGTAAAAAAGAAAACCATCAAATCACTTTTTACTAAAAGTTCACTCTGTTACATTATTAAAGTTATTTGAGATTGTGTTTCCATTGCCAGCAACTATGGTTAGTCAGGTCTTTGATGGAGAGATGCTTAGCTTAGGATGACGTTGACTCGGCCTCACAACCTAAACGCACAACACATGAGAGTTGCTTCAGTTGTTCCTCTTCGATCAGGATTTCAACCAGCAATAATAACACTGAGACAGCTTTGAACCACAAGGAACATTGCTTCTTTTGGACATCACAGTTTCTAATCTTGGATTGATTCCATTGCTACAATCATAAGGTTTTTTTTCCTTCCTAAAACTTCATTGTGTCGGTAAAATTCTCTAATTCGTTTGTTAAGTTGTTTGTCGGTTCTAAATTGTATTGATGGAATTAAGGTTCAAATGGGTTTTCCTAAAACTATTTAACAATAAATGTGGAAACTGATTACAAATCCTACCTTAGCTCAGTTGGTAGAGGGGAGAACTGTAATAGGTTTCCTTACAGCAAATCCTTAGGTCACTGGTTTGAATCCGGTAGGTGGGATATCTTTTTGTAACGATATTTCCTTTTTTTGTTTGAAAAATCGACTAATTTCTTAGAAATAAAGGAAATGCTTTGTTACGAGCTAGCAATCTTCCAATATTTGATAATGAACTAATGTTTTGTCCACGCTACGCATGGGTTATATAATTATATTGTAGTTTTATAGAAGGTTGTTAGTTAATTTTGTGTTTAATATTTTGATAAATTATATAATAGTATATTTACATGTGATTTTTAGATATAGTCGAGTGAAGTAAATATAAGAGGAATATATATATATATATATATATATGTAAAGATGAACGAAATATTTTACACTTTCATAAACTTTTTGCATAATCTTCTCTTTCGTTTGATGTTTTTAAAAAGAAAAACTTAATCCTTACTCTATTTTTGTTTCATATTGTACGTTAAGATTTTATTTTTTATTTTTATATAATATGCATTTATCTGCTATCAATTTTTAAAAAATTTGTGTGTACATAGATGTTTTATAATTAGAAGAAACCAAATGACAATTAATAATAAACTTCTTTAATATATGAGTTCTTTATTAATTGATAAACTATTTGTTTGATAGTTTAGCTAGCTCGATTATTTGCCAATATTGATGAATAGTGTGGAATTTTATAGTTATATGTTATTTGAAAAAAAGACTTTTCAGTTTTATGTTTCATGAACTTTCGCAAATGAGATTAAGAAACTGTGAGTAATTGTCTTCAATCATATATTGTTGTTTCATAAATTATTTATCATACGACTAACTGTTATAGTTATATATTGTACCTTAGGATTTTATTTTTAATTTCCATATGTTATGTATTTCTCTACTTATCATTTTTTAAAGATTTAATGTGTACATAGATATTTTATAATTAGTTCATATACTCAACGAAGAAAACAAATGGCAATTAATAATAAACTTCTTTATTATATGAGTTCTTTATTAATTGATATAATATTTATTTGATAGTTTAGCTAGCTCGATCATTTGCCAATATTGGTGAAGAGTGTGGAACTTTACTGTGATATATATATATTTTTTTAAAAGTTTTCAGTTTTATGTTTCATGAACTTTTGCAAATGAGAATTAAGAAACGGTGAGTAACTGTCTTCAATTACTGGTTGTTTAGTTAGGCTTTTACGTCGGTTTCTCCACAATATAAAATTCTATATCAGTTTTAGAAACTTGAGATCTGTTATAAGATCCAATAGGTACAATTGTTTAAATTACTTTTCTCTAGAAGAAAGATAACCAGAGTCACTCCTCAAGTTTTACTTTTGGCGAGAAAGACGTTCTCCAGCTCCAATATTACTATGACTGAAACTTATTCTTGCACGACTCACATTATAAATATAAATGCAAAACAGTTGTGAGATTGTATTTTTATGTTGCTTAGAGTTGTGTATTATTTATACCCTATATGGTTCATCGCTATGTCTTTTTTTTTTTTTTTTTTTTTTTGACATCCTCATTGCTATGTTTTTTGGATTTCACTTATTTTATGGTCCACTTATTTAAGCTTTATTGTTTATTACCAGTTTGGTTGTCATTAATTAAAGAGTAAAGTTTGTGTTTAGTAACGGTTAATTCTGTTTTGGTGAGTTAGAGGCAAGAAGATTGGAAATCGAGAAGACGATAACTCCATATAAGGAGCTTTTTTTTAGCTTTAGAATTGAGTTTGAGTGTAATTCGTTTTTAGTTTTTTTTTTTGCTTCATTTTTTTTATGAGAATTTAATAACTATGGAAGTTTTTTTGTAGTCAGAATTTGAAGAAGTTTTGATTAATAAATTATTTAATGAAATGACTTTAGTTATTGGTAGAAGAAGATGACATAGCAGTTTTGAAGTCTACTATTGGCTGATTATTTTTCTGATTATTTTTTGTAATATTTACTACAAAAAGTAAATATTATTACAAATTTTTTTGTCATTATATATAATTTTTCCGTCATAAAAATTATATTGTAACGGTAATGTTACAAATTATTAAAGATCACAATAAAAACGTCACAAATCCCTTTTAGTCATAAAACCGTTATAACATAGTGTGACGATTGACAATAATAACGATTTGTCACTATTTGTAACGATATTAAAACAGTCACAAAAACGATACAATTTATGACAAAAAACTATCACAATTAGGTCACAAGCTGTAACAAAAAAATGTCACATATTTATAACAAATTCTTACTATATTTACGTCACTAATCCGCTATAAATTATGACAAACAATAATATCACAAAATTTGTTATATCTAGTTACTAAATTATAATCACAAAAAATAACATAATTAATAACCACAATACTGTTATAAATCCATCACATTTAGTAACTACAATATAATCACATAATTGTTATAATTTTTTTTTATTGTAATTATTTTTCTTACTAAAATCAATACAAAATATTTAGTCACAAACAGTTACCAAATAATTTTTGTTACTTCAATTCACATTTTTTAAATTAAATAATTAATCAATAAAACAGTAAAACTAAAATATAATAAACTAAACATTATATTACTTATTTCGAAGCAAAGTCAATACACGAACATAATTTATAAAAAAAGTATTAATAAAATAAAAACTAAACATTACTTAAGATAAAAAGAAACTAGATAGATAATGGATGATGGACGATGGATGGTTTAAGCATTCTGATTTGCAAAAGACTCAGCCATCTTCTCCATAGCTTCAAGTCTTTTTTTAATTTCCAGATTTTCTTCATGACCTTGTTTGACTTCAGCTTCCAACTCTTGCAGCCGATTTGCAATCATCTCTGCTTCTTCTGGTTGTGGTTGACTTGAAGAAGCATTAGCAGATGGTACACCAAATTCCTTTAGAGCTAGCCTTGTTTAGATGACCCAGCAGCCTAGACAAAATACAAAAAATTGAGTAAAGTAATTAGCTACGTATGTTGACAATCATAACTTTAACAAAAAAAAAAAAACAAACCAGAATCTACTTGTACGTGACAACGATAACTTTAACAAAAAAAAACAAACCAGAAACTATTTATACATGACAATGATAACTTCAACAAAAAAACCAAACCAGAATCTATTTGCTACGTTGTATGAAGAGTAATCAGAAACGAAGACCAGATCAACTCATAATAGGTTCCGATCAATAACATAACTACTTGCAAACATTTGATAAGAAAATCGTAAAGCACTATAAAATTCTGAAATATTACCTTAATATAAATTTCATTTTTCTCACGTTGGTCAAGGTTTTCAGCCGTCACATTCCCTTCACCAGAAGATTCAAGCTGTTCCAAGTGTTCTTGTACATGCTTCTCATAAGTTTCTGCAACCACTCTAGCTCGTTGATCAACATATGTTCCGTCAGGCTTCTGATTTGCTTTCTTCATCACAGCAATGTAAGAGTGGTCTTCATTGTTTGCTTCCTGTAAACAAAACAATAAAACAAAGTGATGCAATACAATAAATTTCACTATTTATCAGCGGTGAAAAAAAAAATGTACCAAAACATCTTGAACTTTGGCATATGAACATGAACCGCATATGTGAGAATGAGGGCCTAAACCATTGCGATCAGACATTCGAGAAGCACTGGTGTTGCCCAATACACTTGCATAGAGGTCCAATCATCAAACAAAATCCACTCTGGTTTTTCTCCTTCTTTCGTTGCACGGCTTATCATTCCTCGTGATAAGCAGCAAGCTTATTAAACTCACTTTCAACTTGAATATTGATAGTAGGATGCCAATTAAATTTTTTCTGAAAAAGAAAGAATATCAAACATCATGAATAACATCGGGGCAACAGTCCACGTAGTGTCACTAAATAAGCACTAGCGTTTTCATTTCAGTCACGATTATAAAGATCAGCCTAATCACAACTCAGAGCTAAAAAGACTTCTACCATCAAAACCAGAGACTTAATTTTAAAACACGCTTCATTGATTCAGCTACCAGAAACTACTTTGAACATATATCTATCCAGCACTAAAACTGACCACATTACTCCTACGAGATACAAGTAAGCTGGGGAACAAAGATTACCTTGAACAGACTAAACCATGTTTGTTTGTAGAAAACTGGCACTCTTTTCCAAGAGTACCATGGTCCTCTAGAACAACTTTGAATGATCTTTCTCACAGCAGTTGATACTTGGGTGTGGTGGTTAAATCTGTTTCATTAAAATAAATAACTTAATGAGTTCTAAATCTCTGAAAATAATCGATATGATTTAGGAAAAATTCTATACCATTTAGCTCCATTTTGTCGACCAGGATGCAGCAAGGGCAAAGTTGAACGATCCACATGTGGCTCTTCCATATCTACACTATAAAGACAGATGATAATTGATCTCTGTATTGAATATCAATAAAGCAAACAACATGGATTCAACAGAGGAATACAATTAAAAAAGGAATACAAATTCAACTATAGACTAACTTCTACAAATCCAGAATTATGTAGGATTACCTTCCAACCAGACCTCTGAAATGAAAGACAAACTAATCGCTTCTAATAAAAGAGAAGTGACGAAAGAACGGTTTTGATAGGCAGTGGGGAAGATGGTTAAATATTTTTCACACTTTTTCAGGGTTTCAATGAGTGGGGGAAATTTTGGCAAAAATTAAAGCGGTTAATCAAATGTTTAGGCTCGCTAACGAAAATTTATGGCGGTACTTAAAAAACGTAACATTTTCATTATATTAAACTAATAAAAATACATTAACTTTTTAAGTACCTTTGATGAAGTCGTAGTGGATCTGATGCCGTCGAGAGCAGCGGCTTCTGCCTCTGCATAGATATATACAAGCACGTCTATCAACACAATTAATAAAAAATCACAAGTTTATTTTCAAATTTGTTCAGGGTACAAATATTTTCAGCACGAGTTCTACAATGGAAAATGAGCCTTTGAAGGTGAGTCTGAGTTGTTCTCCAAATACACAATCCAAGGTAATGTATGCCTAGAACCATAACCAGGCAATTCTTCTCTGAATAACAATTAAGCATCACGTGGAAACAACTCAGAAATGAAGTCCAGAAAACAAAAAAAAAGCTCAAGCAAAGATGGTGTTATGATGTTGGATAAGAATATTTGTATGGTTCTCTGTAACCTAGAGAAAATATTTCCTCCTTCATTTTTTGATATCATGGAGCATTTGCCAATTCACTTGCCATACGAAGCTAGCCTTGGAGGATCTGTGCAATTTAGATGGATGTATCCCTTTGAAAGATACATGGGCCATCTAAAGAAAAAAGTAAAAAATAAGGTAAAGGTAGAAGGCTCGATTGTTGAACAATATATCAATGAAGAAATATCTACTTTTTGTAGCTTTTACTTTGAGGTACACATCGAAACAAAAAATCGAAGAGGAGATCGACACTATGATGGGGGTAATCAAGACGCCACACATGAAATTCCAGATATATTTTCTCAAACCAGGGAGGGGCAGTGGTAAAGAAAAGGAGATATGGCTCCAAGATAATGATCACCATATCGCATATACATATATTTTGCAGAATTGCGATCAATTGAGACCATTTGAAAGGTATGAAAAACTAATTTGCATATGTATACTTTAATTTATATTTTGATAGGGTGAGTATAAGACAACATATTTACTCTTTTTGAATTTATATATATAGGTTATTCGATGAAAGAATGATTGCAGCTAATCCTGGGATAAGCGAAAACAATCTAATTGTGCTTAGAGAAAAAGAATATTCAGGATGGTTACAAAAACATGTAAGATTTATTTTTGTTTTAAAAATAATCTTTTGATATATCTTTGATATATTATTGAAAGTGAAACAATCACATTGGACCAGAATGCAAATGAAGACCAAGGCCCAATACAAACGAAGAAAGCAATCGAGCCCATTATTACTCAACAACGGTCGTCTTCTTCCTTTGCAACAAAAGACAAAGGTACCATTGTACAGAAAAGTAGAACGGAAAAATCAGCTGGAGAAAACTGTACGATTGTACTGAATAACAAATTTGATTCTTTCTTATCTTTAGAGAATAGCTAGATGTTCGACACTTGTAATCAGATCCTAAGATCAGAGAGTTCCTTAAGGTGTATAAAAGGAACCTCTTTGTAAGAAAAGAAATTAAGTTGAATAACATTGAAATTTCAGTCTAAAACTCCGTTCTTTGTTTATTCACATGGCATCAGAGCTCTCCTAAACCTTAACAGGTGCTGTCATGGCTGAGGCTCTCGATCCTTACCCTTTCCCTTCTAGTCTTCATGTTTCCAGTTCTGTCACACTAAAGCTCAATGATAACAATTACCTCCTCTGGAAAACTCAGTTTGAGTCTCTTCTTCGGAGTCAGAAACTCCTTGGGTTTGTCACTGGCCAAATAGTTCCACCGGCGGCTACCGTTACAGCCACGGTTAACAATGTTGTCGTCACGTCTCCAAATCCAGTTTTTGAAGCTTGGACCTGCACTGATCAACTCATCAAGTCGTGGATCTTTGGCACTCTTACAGAAGAAGTGCTTGGTTATGTCCATGGTTTAGCCACATCTCAAGATGTTTGGCTCTCTCTTGCCGATAACTTCAACAAAAGCTCTGTTGCTAGAGAGTTCGACCTTCGTCGCCGACTCCAGTTGTTGTCAACTCGAAACAAAGATTTCCTGGTTTATTGTCGTGAGTTTCGGATCATTTGTGATCAACTCAGCTCTATTGGAAAGCCAGTCGAAGAATCCATGAAGATCTTTACTTTTCTCAACGGTTTGGGTCAGGAATACGATCCAATCTCTACAGTGGTTCAAAGCTCCATGTCTCGTGTTCCCCCACCTAACTTCAGTGATGTCGTTTCTGAAATCTCCGGTTTTCACACCCGTCTTCAGTCATTTGAATCTCCGGCAGATGTCACCCCTTTCACGGCGTTTCAAGCTCAGCAGCAAAACCACTCCGGACAGGGACAAAGAGGTCGTGGGAACTCTTATTCTCGTTTCGGCAGCAGAGGTCGTGGTGGTTTTTCAACTCGCGGCAGGGGTTTTTCGCAGCAAGTTAACTCTTCTGGTTGGAACCAATCTCAGGGATCTGCAGGCGGAAACAATACACGTCCTGTTTGTCAAATTTGCGGTCGTATTGGCGACACTGCTCTTAAGTGTTGGAATCGCTTTGATAATGCTTATCAGAGTGATGACACTCCTCAAGCTCTTGCTGCTCTTCGAGTATCTGATGCTACTGGTCAGGAATGGTTTCCCGACTCTGGCGCCTCTGCACACATTACCTCTACCGCTGCTCCTCTGCAAAATGTGACACCTTACAATGGCTCAGAGACGGTCATGGTCGCAGATGGTAACTACCTCCCCATCACTCACATTGGTTCCACTACACTCACCACGACTGCAGGTAGTATTCCTCTTTGCGATGTTCTTGTTTGTCCATCAATGCAGAAATCGTTACTGTCAATCTCGAAACTTTGTGAGGATTATCCCTGTGGAGTATTCTTTGATGCTAATGCTGTATATATTATTGATCTCGATACTCAGAAAGTGGTGACAAGGGGACCACGTCGTGAGGGTCTTTATGTGTTGCAGAATCCAGAATTCTTGGCTTTCTACTCAAACCGACAGTGTGCTGCTAGTGACATCATTTGGCATCAACGGCTCGGACACGCCAACTTTCAGATTCTGCAACTTCTCAAATCCAGCAAGGCAATTTCTATCAATAAGAGCAGCACTTCTCTCGTTTGTGAACCTTGCCAAATGGGAAAGAGTTCTCAGCTTCCTTTTTCATATTCTGAATCTAGTGTAATGGAACCATTTGATCGAATAAATTGTGATCTTTGGGGTCCTTCTCCAGTTGTTTCTGTTCAAGGTTTCAAGTATTATGCCGTGTTTGTGGATCAATATTCTCGATATTCATGGATTTTTCCCTTAAAGCTTAAGTCTGATTTCTATGGTGTGTTTATCGCTTTCCAAAGACAAGTTGAGAATCAGTTTAATAGAAAGATCAAAGTGTTTCACAGTGATGGTGGAGGAGAGTTTATGAGTACATGTTTCAGAAAACACCTTACAGATCATGGTATTATTCATCTTCTGTCTTGTCCATCAACTCCTCAACAAAACGGGATTGCTGAACGAAAGCATCGGCATCTCACTGAACTTGGTCTCTCAATGCTCTTTCACAGCAAAACGCCTCTGAAATATTGGGTAGAAACATTTTACTCAGCAAACTTCATCTCTAATTTGTTGTCTTCAGCTTCTTTGAATCAGAAAAGTCCATCAGAAGTTCTGTTCCAGAAAATACCGGACTATACATTTCTGCGGGTCTTTGGCTCAACATGCTACCCTTGTCTTCGACCTTTTGCTCAACACAAATTCGATCCTCGCTCTCTTCAATGCGTCTTTTTGGGATATCATGCTCAGTACAAAGGCTATCGTTGTTTATACCCTCCAACCGGTCGTGTATATGTGTGTCGTCATGTGATATTTGATGAGCTTTGCTTTCCTTTCACCGACAAGTACAAGCATTTAGCTCATCAACATACAACTGGTCTGCTTCATGCTTGGCAGTCAGCCGATAATCAGGTTCCGATCTCTCAACATCTGCCCACTATCCCACCTCAAGTTGCTCATTATCCTCAAGATCTACAAATGGCACCAAAGAGTCCTGGTTCTACAATTTCATCACCTGGAATATCTACAGAATCCAGTCAACGTGTTATGATGGAACCAGAAAACGCAGAGATTACAGAACCAGAACAACAAGTGGTCAATACGCAAATGCATCCTATGATTACAAGATCAAGACATGGCATTCGGAAACCAAATCCAAAGTACGCTCATGTTGTAAGCAAGACTATTCCTTCTTTACCTAAAACCGTTGCAGAAGCTCTAGCTCATCCTGGATGGCGTCAAGCCATGATAGAAGAACTAGACTCTATCTATCAGAATCATACATGGTCATTGATTCCTCCAACAGCAGAGATGAATATTCTAGGGTGTCATTGGGTATTCACAGTCAAACTACATGCTGATGGTTCACTTAACAAACTCAAAGCAAGACTTGTTGCCAAGGGATTTACTCAAGAAGAAGGTGTAGATTTTCTCGAAACTTACAGCCCGGTGGTTCGAACATCCACTATTCGGATTGTTCTTGCTGTTGCAACTGCAAAGGATTGGAACATCACTCAACTTGATGTAAAGAATGCTTTCCTTCATGGTGAATGCTTTCCTTCATGGTGAACTACATGAACCCGTCTTTATGGTACAACCTCCAGGGTTTGAAGATCTGGCTCGCCCTAATCATGTCTGTTCACTAAAAAAGGCCCTCTACGGTCTTAAACAAGCTCCGAGGGCATGGTTTGACAAATTCAGTCACTTTTTGATTGAGTACGGTTTTATTTGCAGTAAAGCTGATCCTTCCCTCTTTGTGTATCATCACAATGGAGATACTTTGGTATTGCTATTATATGTCGACGATATTCTACTTACTGGTTCCAATCCAAGCCTTTTCAATTCCCTAATTGAAGAACTCAGTAATCGATTTGCCATGAAAGACTTGGATAATCTTCACTACTTCCTTGGAATTCAGGCTCAATCTCACGATAATGGTCTGTTTCTCAGTCAAACGAAGTATGTTGAAGAAATTCTTCTCCATGCCAACATGTCAACTTGCAACCCGATGTACACTCCTCTACCGTTACGGCTTGATCACGTCTTCCGCGACAAACTATTATTCTCGGAACCAAGCTATTTTCGAAGTCTTGCTAGGAAGTTACAGTATCTTACGATTACTCGGCCTGATATACAGTTTGCAGTCAATTTTATCTGTCAACGGATGCACTCTCCCACTGAATCGGATTTTGGTTTATTAAAACGCATTCTCCGCTATCTTCGAGGAACATCAAATATGGGTCTTCACTTCTCCAGAAAAGTAATCTGGATTTGGTTTCTTACAGCGATAGTGATTGGGCGGGCTGTCAAGACACACGAAGATCAACTACAAGTTTCTGTGCTCTTCTCGGCTCCAACATAATCTCATGGTCTGCCAAAAGACAAGCGACAGTCTCTCGGTCTTCTACAGAGGCCGAATACAGGGCACTTGCAACCACTGCCTCTGAACTAACTTGGATTTCAGCGGTTCTTCGTGCTTTGGGGATCCCTCAGTCTACGCCTGCTATTCTTTGATGTGATAATCTGTCAGCCGTGCATTTATCGGTGAATCCAGTTCTTCACAGCAAGTCTAAACACATCGAAGTTGATTGTCACTATGTTCGTGAGAGGGTGGCTCTTGGTGTTCTAGAAATTCAACACATTCCTTCTGCTTTACAACTTGCAGATATCTTCACTAAATCTCTCCCTCGTCAATCATTCCAACATTTGCGATCCAAACTGAATGTTGGGATTTCCCCATCATCAGTTTGAGGGGGGATGAAAGTGAAACAATCACATTGGGCCAGAATGCAAATGAAGACCAAGGCCCAATACAAACGAAAAAAGCAATCGAGCCCATTATTACTCAACAACGGTCGTCTTCTTCCTTTGCAACAAAAGACAAAGGTACCATTGTACAAAAAAGTAGAACGGAAAAACCAGCTGGAGAAAACTGTACGATTGTACTGAATAACAAATTTGATTCTCTCTTATCTTTAGAGAATAGCTAGATGTTCGACACTTGTAATCAGATCCTAAGATCAGAGAGTTCCTCAAGGTGTATAAAAGGAACCTCTTTGTAAGAAAAGAAATTAAATTGAATAACATTGAAATTTCAGTCTAAAACTTTGTTCTTTGTTTATTCACAATTATAATATGTGTTGTATACATGGATTTTAAACAGGTGGGGGATACGTGGAAAGATAATTCATATCCAATGTGGTTGATGTCTATCGCTCATGGTCCAATGATTAAAGCTACTTCTTGGCCAATGTATTTTTCTCGTGGATATGTATTTCATACATATGATCATGGAAAAGAAAAAAAGACAAAAAGAATGCCAATTATGGAGTTTGTGTCAAAAGTACAACATCTTCTGCTTCAAGTGAAGAACCTGCTTTCTATGGATTATAAAGAGAGATTTTTGAGCTTCATTATCCCGGACCAGTTGATCTTAAAATCGTGATCTTCAAATGTGATTGGTATGATTCAACCATGGGGAAAGATATACGAAAAAACAGGTCAGGGATTATAGATATCAATGCTAAAAGGTCTTATGAAAAATATGATCCTTTTGTATTGGCTTCACAAGCAGATCAAATATGTTATGTTCCATATCCACATATCCACGGGTGATTCAGGCGAAAAAAGATCAACACTGGAAAGCAGCAATTATAATACAACCGAGGGGAAAAATATTGGTCAACCAAAATTTGGATTTCACTGCTATGCAACATGAAAATGATGATTCTATTGTTCAAGATGATTCATTGCACATCGAGACACTAACATATCTACAAGGTCAAGCAGAAGATCTTGATGATCCAGAAATAGTAGCAGAAAATGGATCAGATATTGAAGATGGAAATACTGATATTGAATTATCTAGTGATGAATCTGAATAATGTTTTAAAACTTAATTATCTCACTCTCTGTTTCGTGTTTGGTTCTCGCAATGATTAGGCTTATTCTCTACGATTAGTAGATTTGTTATCTTGCTTTCCCTTTTTCTTTGTTATACTTTGCTTACAATGTGGCAATTAAATTACACAAATCAAAATAGTTGAGACTTACCTTAGTAGCAAGCTGCTTCCTAGGGGTCTTTCCTTCTATTAGACTTACGAGCTGTTTGCTTGGTACGAGTCATCTGATCAGTAGCGATATCCAGCAAGTTGCCAACATTGATGTAGTCATATATTAGCATCCTAATTTTCACATGAAAAAGTCCAAAAGCGATTTAACTTCGTAGATATATACAAGCAATCAGACATGGAAAATTATGCATCTCTCATTTTACAAAACGAGAAGAAGCTTCAGAATAACTGAAGGAGATCAACAAAGATTGTTTATATCACTAACAAGACAAGGATAATTGGGAGCAGTTTTTGATACCTTAGACAGAAATGGTTCGAGAGAAGTGACAACATCAACAAGGGAAGGGTCCAATCCAATCTCTTCCTCGGCCTCTCTGGTTGCAGTCATCCTATCATCTTCCTCCGCTTTACCACCTGGCAGTGAAACTTCTTCTGCAACCATAAACACACCTTTAAACGCTATCCTGAGCAGTAAGCTGAAAGCAACCACCTAACAATTTAGAGCAAACACACAGTACTTTTCAAATCTAAATGCATCAACTCTGAAATCCGAAGTCAAATGATTTCCAAATTCAAAGACGAAAACCTTTAACCTCTAACAGTACAATCCCTCCTAATTTTATGTGAATGCGCAAAAATGATTTCTGAATCGAGTTCTACTTCAAATAAAACCAAAACGAGAAGCAAGCACAAACCCGAGTGAGTACACAATCTGGAAGACCTCTTAGCGAAGATGATGCGTAGATCTCCATCATCTCCTTCGAAGATACAGATCAATACAGCCTCTCTCTTGGGTCTGAACCTCTCAAGGTCTTTCAGAATCGAAGCCGTAGACTCCTGAATTCCAATCTGAGAAACAAATTTCCCGGCGTTCTCCTGATTTGCCTGCATCAATTCCTCGGCATCGCGAACGATGAAGGAGGGGGCAGTTTGTATAGGCGAAGTTGCTGACCAAACACTGCCATAGAATCGCCGAGGGGAGTGAAGAGAAGGACGATACCAAAGAAGACGGCAGTAACGATGTCGAGGAGCCGCCATTGATCTGGTGACAGAGATCTAGAAGAATAATCGAGAAGGATCCAGCAGAGCCGAAAAAAGCTCTCGATGTCCGGCTGATAGAGAGAGTGTATGTGTGTGATGAGCTGTTGATGTCTGTCTGCCTAAGAGTTTCCAACTGATATAGATCTCTATCGGTTAAATAAATAAGTTAACTCTGCCGTGCTTAACAAAATCGTTTTATTGGCCTAGTGGTTAAGGCGTGTGCCATTTAATTTCGATCTATGCATTAGTTCCAAACCCTTAGGCAACATATTTTCTTTCTATTTTGTTATTTAATATTCATTAGCTCTTAAGTAGATAAAGAAAAAATACATTATATTTTATAATAACTTAAGGGATCTTTTTATTTTGTAAGCCTCCCCAATTTGTCATTTATTATTCATTAGCATTTAAGTAAATAAAAAAAACATATTACATTTTATAATAAATTAAGAGAAGAAAAATAAATTTTAAATATATCGATTATGGCTTTTATAATTTCTTTATTAAGATGAATTTCTCTAACTTCATCAATAAACTTTCTTTTGTTTAACTCGAATTCATGTCCACTGTTTTTCTTAAAAACAAATCTATCTGCAGGTTGCACGGTGAAATTTTCCTCCATCTTCTTAATAAATAATTTTGTTTAGATCAAAAATTATATTGAAATTTCTTTTTTTTTTGCCTTATTTCTTGAATAACTTATACTTCTTCTACTTTTTGAGCTTTTGCATTTCGTTTAGTTCTAGTTTTTATTACATGTCGAGCCACTAATTTATCTACAAGGCCAAGCAGAAGATCTTGATAATCCAGAAGTAGTAGCAGAATTAGATCAGATGTTAAAAATGAAAATTCATGATGAATCTGAATAATATTTTAAAATTTATATACATCATTTCTATTTTTTCAGTTATTATATATTTTTTCCACAAATAAAACTATTCTTTTTTTCTTTACATGTAGTTTAATTTTTGTCATCAAAATAGTAACAATTATGACTAAATGCATAGGTTAGTCAAAAAGTGTGTAATTGTGATAACATACTTACAAAATATTTGTAACTGTTAGTGATTTAAGTTAAGTCACAAAAAATCTTATAATATAGTTACTAAATTTAATCGCAAATCCGTAACAATATTTGTTACTATATATTTTGTAACAATTACAATACGATTAGTGACAACAATTTGTTACATATGATTCAGTCATAATATTATGACAAAATAATAACGTTTTTATGATAAATTAATTTTGTCATAAACTAGTATGTAAATCATCACAATATTGTGACAAAACAATTAGTTATAATTTTTTTTGTAACAATATTAACATTTTGGCAGGAAAACAGAATTTTATGGTTTTCTTGTGATTTTATGGTTTTGGCAGGAAAACAGAATTTTACGGTTTTCTTGTGATTTTATGGTTTTGGTGGAAAACGAAATTTTACGGTTTTCTCGTGATTTTACAATTTTGGCAAGAAAACATAATTTTATAGTTTTTTCTTCGTGATTTTACATTTTTTGAGGGAAATCGTAATTTGCGGAAAATCGTGATTTTACATTTTTGGCTGTGATTGGTAAACTTCGTGGAATGGCGGAAAAACGTGATTCCACAAGAATTTTGTCAATCAGAAAATCTTGCGGAAAAACGCTAAAACTCGAATTCTGCAGAATGGCAGAAATACTTACAAAAAATACAAAGAAAATTTTGATTAAGTGGGAACGTGTGTTTCAAATAGCTTATTTACGGAATCAATATTTTATATCATTCAATTATATAATTAATTATATTTTATTATTTAAATAAATATCTTTCTGTTACATATATTTATATAATGATCAGATTATATCTGTAGATTAAATTTTGCAATATATTTATATATTTTTATAGTAAATAAAAATAAAAATAAATAATTACAATGAAAGTTTTGATTTTTCTAGTTATATTAAAATTATGTTTTTTATAATAATTAATATTTTAATTTTTATTATATCAAATTATATATAAAATATATTATTATCAAAAATTAATTTTTTTTTTGTCATTCCACCATTTCCGCCATTCTGCATAATTTATCCAATCATATCATTTAAAGTAATTATTTCGCTATTCTGCATTCCGCCATTCCACAGTTTTATTGTGTTACTAATCGAAGTTTTGGCGGAAAAACTAAATTTTACGGTTTTGGTGGAAAAACAAAACTTTATGGTTTTAGAAAAAATATAATTTATGGGTTTTGGTGAAAAAGTGATTTGGAGTTTTGATAGAAAAAATGAAATTTGAGAATTTTCAGAATTTAAAATTTTTATGAAATTTATTATTTAGGATATATTAATATCTAATCATTTAAATTAGATAGGATTATTTTAGACATTTATAATTTTTGGATGAGATATATGTATTTAAACTCTACTTTCATTTGCATTTGAAATATCTGGGTTTTTTTTATGAGTTGGATATTTGTATCCAACTACTACATCTAGTTTTTATGATTAATTGTTATAAAATTTGTATCTACATCTGGATATAGTAGCCAGATTACCAAACGAACATGCCTGATTTCTCATAGCTTTTGCCACTTCTAACCTTCTTCTAGCTGTACTGGAGCTACTCACATTAGCTTAGGACCTTTACCAGCCAACTTGATAAGGGCATAATACGTGATCTTTGAGTCATGTGTCAGCATCTTTTGGTTAATTGATTCAATTACCGATCAGCCCTAGGCTCCCTAGCTCCAACGTGGTCAGACTCTCAGATCGTCCTTTGCTTTGCGGCATCTCCGCAAGATGGACCAACACTTATGCATGCTCAAGTCTTTCTAAATGAGAACGAGTCAGAACAAAAGCTCATGATATCAATAACGAGTCGAAGGTATTTACCTTAAACCTTTTAAGAAATGAGCTAAAGCTCAGATCTGAAGTCAAAGGTTTTTGAGAGGATTCACAAAACCAGAGGTAGGATTTCTCGGTGTGCTCAATTCCCCTGCTCTATCCAGCATTTTTCTCACATTGGGGTGCTCAACCCGCGACTTTTGGATATACTACAGGGCTCAATCAATCTCATAGGTCTGCTTTGATTGTAAGTTCCTGGAGGTTCTCACCCGAATAGCTTACCCAAATACTAGATAAGTGCAGCACACCCAATCGATTAAAGTGGACTTTATCCTATATTTCTTTCTCCAGCACACTAGTACCTTTGGATGCCTTTTTATGCCTATTTTTATATAAAAAGTAAGGAAAGGAGAAGAGCTAAGGTTTAGTTTCCATCCGAGCTTTAGATTTGACAGTATCATCAAACAAATAAGGGCAGTAGTGTGCTAACGAAGAACTTTGCTAAGATCCTCACCTCATACTGCACATACACATGCATATGGGATATTACTATCGTAAGGAAGTCCCACCCAGCACACTGCTAATTACTGCTTGTTTAGAAGATGAACCGATGTGCTGCAAAGCTTTGGACCCTACCCAACTTCTAAAGAAGAGTTTGGAGAAAGGAACATAACTTCCCCAGTACACCGCTATGTTCCTTCCTTATTTTATTAATGTTGTTAAGTGAGAGGGTTGCTTCACTTGAAATCCAAACCCTAGCCCTGTGCTGCAATGCAATTCTTCCCTTTCTTACTATGTTTCCTCAAACTACTAATATTATAGTGTGCTGGCATGCCCCAAACAGGTAATTTTGCTTTAGCTGTATTCCAAGGGTGTACTGAAATCAAAGGTCAAAAACAACTTGTCATCATTCTATGAGATTGGAAATACACGAAATTCATGACTCTAGAAATTGGAGATCCATCCACTCATCCAACTCAGCACAAAGAGGTAGGGAGATATTGGATCTCCCTGCCTAAAACCTTTACCTCCGGCCACGTCTCTCCCATTTATCTCCAGAGAGAAACTTACAGTGGTAATGCATTGATGAATCAGCTTGATGAGCCTTGTGGAAAAATTCGCTGCCTTTAGAAGTTCCAAAACAAATTCCCACTTCAAAGAATCAAATGATTTCCTAAGGTCTACCTTTAAGAGCCCTTTAGCAGATGAATTAGCTTGATTCAAACCTTACACCATCTCAGATGCTAACATTCTCCACAATGAGACGACCCTTGACAAAAGCTGACTGGGAGTTAGAGACCAATTCCAAGACAGCCATTTGTAACCTTGCAACCAATACCTTTGAAATGATTTTGTACAGAATATTACAGTAGGAGATTGGGCGAAAATATGTTACCTTATTAGTATTCTTGGGAATGAGACATATAACAGTGCAGTTCCATTGTTGCAGCTTCTGACCTGATGAGAAGAACTCTTTGACAGACAAGGTAAGATCATAGCCAGTTATATCCCAAGTCTGTTGGTAGAATTCAGCCGTGTACCCATCTGGTGTGCTACATGGGGTCTTGTTCCTTGTAAGGCTATACACCACTAATTTCTTCAGCAGAAACAAGAGATAACCCGTACGTTGTGTGGGGTGAAATAATTAATATTTATCCATATTAATATAATTTTAAAATATATAATATAATATAATTAATTTTATTTTTGTGTTTATTTAATATTATGATATAATATTAATAATAGATATAACATTGACAATATAATATAAAAAATCACTATACAATTTGAATAAAATACAGTTGGGTAAAAAATTAAAATCGCATATATGTCTTTTATATCAGGTAATTGATGACATGATTCAACAATTTCACCAATGCTCAAGCTTTAGGTATACAATACTTGTGTACAAATTTATTTCTTTTTTACACTAAAAAATAATTAGACCATGCTCAAATATTGTTCTTTTAAAAACTATTAATTCATCATCTGGATTTAGTGTTTGGATGCAAAATCAATAATATCTTAAAATTTTGAATATTTGAGACGCAAAGAAAAATAGAGTTTGAATGAAATATTTGCATCTCAAAAACTAAAAGACCAAAATATTCTTTAATATGATACAAACCATAAAATTAAGTTTTTTGGTAAAAACATAAGATTGAAGTTTTCTATCAAAATCATAGAACTGCATTTTTCCCCAGAAAACATAAAATCACATTTTTTCTAAAAATAGGATTTCTCGTCAAAAATTTGAAATAGCATTCTCCACTAAAACTGGAATTTTTCTTGTTAAAACTGCATACCTGTATTTTTCTGCAAAAACCAAATGTCATATTTTTTCCAAA